AAACTGTAATACAGAGCAGACTGATAAATGCTATAACAAGTGTGTAAATAAAGTATGGGAGCTCAGGGCAAAAATTAACTCTGAACGAAGGATTAGCAAAATTTTGCAGAAGAGCTGACCTCCCACTGATGAGAAGTGATCAGGAACCATGCCTCACCATGTTGATGTCCCTACAGAGCCAAGCATTTTCTAGATTTTTAGTAAGAACTGGATACCTTTTTAAAAATTGATTTGTATTAGACATAAACAAATGTTTCCTGACTGAGGGAGATGCCAAACAGAGAGAAGTCACTGTGGGAAAAGTTGTGAAATAGACCTACCCGCAGAGTTTTTAGAAAAGGAGGATTCCTGTATGTTTAGGAATTATGGCATTCGAGCCAGACTGATGCGATGCATTTTACTAGATAGGCTTTTAAAAGTCTTAGCCAACCTAGTGATTTTATCCGTCTAAACACACGCACACAACCTGCACCCCAGTGTTCACAGCAGCACTATTTACAATAGCCAAGACATGGAAACAGCCTAAATGTCCAGCAGCAGATGACTGGATAAAGAAGCTGTGGTACATTTATACAGTGGAATACTATTCAGCCATAAAAATCGACAACACATTTGCAGCAACGTGTATGTTCCTGGAGAATGTCACTCTAAGTGAAGTAAGCCACAAAGAGAAAGAAAAATACCATATGAGATCGGTCATATGTGGAATCTAAAACAGAACAGAACAAAACAAAACATAAATACAAAACAGAAACAGACTCATAGACATAGAATACAAATTTGTGGTTGCCAAGGGGACGGGGGGTGGGAAGGGACAGATTGGGATTTCAAAATGTAGAATAGATTAACAAGATTACACTGTATAGCACAGGGAAATATATACAGGATCTTGTGGTAGCTCACAGTGAAAGGAATGTGACAAGGAATATATGTATGTCCATGTGTGGCTGAAAAATTGTGCTCTACACTGGAATTCGACACAACATTGTAAAATGACTATAACTCAATAAAAAAATGTTAAAAAAAATAAACACACACACGCACACACCATCTAGTCTGTACCTTGGAGCACAATTATGGTCTCGATTGTAAGAAGTAGGTAGACTCAGCCCACCTTCCACTAGCCCATCTCAAACTGACGCTTAACGCGTGGGAGACGTTCTGCTGTGAGCCCAGTGTCCTTGCACGGCTTCAAGGCCCACCTTCAGAGCAGTTACTGTGCTGTCGTCATACAGCAGCTGCTGAGAAATCGACCTTTGTTCTCCGTCCACCCTAGTGTGCACTCGGGTTAAATCCCGGCAGTGCTCTCAGTGAACTTGCCACTGCCCGTCTCTGCTGGCTTCATGATCCAGTAGCCAGAATGGACGCCCAGACGAGTTAGCAGTGCTTACCGATCCTCTTGTGAAATCTAGTTACTCGGACAGTTTCCTAACAAAATTCCAGTAACCAAATTCTCAGCTGCCAAGGACTGCTCTTTACTCAGTGTCCTTTCTCCCTATTTTTTGGAAGGCAGAGTTTACCAGTTGAGTCTGTACATGGGTGACCAAAAAAAGGGGGGGAAATTGTGTAAATGTTTTTCACATCTAAAGTCTGCATAGACTTAGTCACCCACCTTATGCCAGGCACAGATAACTTAGTCAATATCCACTGTCTCACCTTTAACAGCTCAATAGGGCCACAAAATGGCAGTGATTTTTGTATTACCTGGCACGTCAAAATCAGGGAGTTCCATTTAAGCAAGTATTTAGGTTACTAAAAAGTTACCCTATGTAATTTTTGGAATAGCAATTTTTAGAGGATTAGAATGCATGCAAATATTTGATTCTAAAGCCCTGGGCAATCCAACATAAAAGTTAACGATTTGGCAGGCATTTGGGGGTTGGGCTATACCATGGCCCCACTGTTAAAGAGTCTGAATGTTCAAACCTCCTTGCTGTAAGCGTAGTACTCAGGCCAGGGGCACCTGGAAGCTGGTTAGAAATGCAGAATCTCAACCCCACCCCAGACCTACTGAAAATTTGTGTGTACATTAAAGTTTGAGAAACATTGTCCTAAAAGAAGAGCATTCTTCTTAAAAGGTCTACAGTTGATAGGCAGTTAAATTTTAACCAGCTTTAAACTAAATGACACATTCTCAATTACACTAGACTTGAGAGATTAAAATCACCCTCCACTAACCTATTCCCAACATCATTGTTCATTTGAGGAAGCCAGGGAACTCTGCCCTCCATTTGGGTGTCTCCCTCATCACCCAGCCTTGCCTTTTACTGTCCCTCTCCCCCTTGGACCCTCTCCTCCCTGTGGCACCCACTCCCAGACACAGGTGCCAAAAGTTGCATCTCTCTGGTCCTGCTGGGTACACTTAAGGTGCCTCTTGGCACAGCCTTCTCTCCCTGGCTGCCCAGGGCTGCCGCTTTAATGTATCTGACCCAGTTGTTACCACATCACTTAAGTCTTTGCTCCTGTTCCTTCACTACCTACATCAAACCTACTGGCTTTTCTCCCACCGTCTCTAGAGCAATCTCTCCACGACTTCCAGCGGCAGCTAAGTAACTTAGGGAACCAAGCTGTCCCAGAGGGAGCGGATCATGGCCCTTCAGTGCCTACTCTTTTCTCCTCCAAAACACACACTTTACAGCGCCCTTCTAGGGGTATAGCTTCATCATTGTTATCTTCGCCGAGTCCCTAATGGCAAAGAAAGAGGGAAGTGCCTTCCAAATGAACAACCACACATGCAGAGGTCCAGGGGATGGGAGGAGCTGGTTGTCCTTGAGGAACTGAAAGGCCAGCATGGCTGAAGGAAAGTGGAAACAGCCACCGATCACAGATAAAAGGATGAAACAGATGGAGAGAAACAGATGGAGTAGTGAGAGGTTTAGGGATGGTTCTCAGACTTGAGGGTGCTTGAAAATCACCCGGGGAAGCTTGTTAGAACACAGATTTTCCAGATCCCACCTTGAGATTCAGTGCTTTAGAGAGCTGGTGGGCCCAGGAGTCCGCATTTTCCCACAAATACACCCAGAGATTCTGGGATTCGCAGATCACCCTTGGAGAAGGACTCGTCCTGATCAACTATTCTCAGCCCTGGCTGCACAATGGCCTCACCTCAGGGGCTTTATAAGATGCTGATGTCTGTGCCCCTCCCTCCGAGGTTCTGGTATAATTGATCTGATGTGCAGGTAGGGCAGCTGGACATTTAAAAGATGCCCACATGACTCTAATTGGCAGTCAAGTTTGAGAACCAGTAGTCAACAGCCTGGTGTACTCTTCAAAGGGCCAGCCCGGGTGGAGCATCTTAAAAAGCAGAGAGACCAACAGAAGGGGGTTTAGAAAGGCAGAGTGAAGGGAAGGAAGTGTTCCAAGGACAAATCTCGCTTTTGTCATATCCAGCCAACAAGTATCTGCCTCTCTGGGTGCCAAGTAACACTCCTGGGGCCACAAGGCTCAGGCTCAGTGTTTCTAGCCAAAGCGAGGGCATCAGAACCCAGGATGGAGCTCTCTGCCTTCAAGCCTCAAACCCCCCACTGCAGCAGCTCCTGAGGTATCATCTTTCCTCCCTCTCAGAAACCCAGAGGGCCAGCCATGCCAAGCTTTGTGCAAATTATAAAACTGCTTCGCTGTGCATGAATAAACATGAGAGAGAATGTGTAGAGGAAAGGAAAACATTTATCAACGATGTGTCTTCTAAACCTCCCAAGATCATGCAGCTTTAATGGCTGAATGATTTTGAAAGGAAAACTTGTAAATTGAGCTGCCCCTGAACTCATACTAAAATGCCATGAAATTAACTGACTCTCTCTGTGCTGCACACCCAAGTCGGGGCCAGTCCAGTTCACAGTTAACACACTGCCTTATCCTCAGGCCGCTCCAATCAAGAAGGCAAAGCAGCCTTCTTGGGCAGGTTACCTTCTTAGGCACCATCTTAATAAAGGCAGAGGATTATAGCTCTTGAATAAAACACTTTCTGTATGATTTTTGCCACCTCATGTTCCAAATTGACTGGAGAACAAATGGGCAAATTAGCTGGGCCCCAGGAAGCATGAGTCAGCCAGATAGATCCCCCAGGACTAGATTGCCTTCCGGGCAGTGACTCACCACCTAACTCTGGGATCCGCAGAGGAGAGGACAGCTGTCCCCAAGGTCACCATGACCTGGAAAAGGCTCTAAGCAGAGAACACGTTAGCACCTGGCAGCTCTCTTCCTAGTTTGTCTTCTTTTTATGAATGGGATATACTGGGCACTTGTTCTGCCTGTCACTTTCAGATGTTATCCCATTGGGTCCCCAAACAGCCCTCAGAGGTGGGTTATCATTAACCTCATTTTCCTGAAGAGGAAACAGCACCTCCGAGAAGCTAAGAGATTTGCCTGTGAGCTAGGGGTGGAGAGCATCTGATCAAACTCTTGTGTTCTTTTCACTTCCCTTTCTCTCCCTCCACCACCCTTCTTCATATAATGAAGTCAACTCCTAAGAGTTAAATTTGAGGAATTTGGGCTGTACACGACTGTGTAACTACCACCACCATCAAAATAGAGAATATTTCCCCCACTCCAAAAAACTCTCCTGTACCTCTTTGTAGGTTAATCTCTTCCTCCTCAGCCCCAGCCCCTGACAAAAACTAACCTATTTCCTGTCTCTGTCATCTTGCCTTTCATGGGTCCAGGGTATATAAATACCTCCTATAGATCAGTGATAAAACAAACCATCTGACTCAAAGTCAGCAAACAGTTTAAATAAACACACACACACACACACACACACACACACACATTTATAACCAATAAGCGTAGAAAAGTTTCTCAACTTATTAGTCATCTTAAAAATTTAAATCAAAGCCCAGATTAGACACCACCACACATGTACTAGAATGGCTAAAATGAAAAAGACTGCATCAAATAACAAGGATGTGGACCAACCAGGACTCTTAATATATGTTGGTGGGAGTGTAAAATGTGGTACCATCACCTTGAAAAGAGGCACAGCACCTACTCATTTGGGGGCAGGGGACATAGCTCATTGGTAGAGCACATGCTTGGTGTGCATGTGGTCCTGGGTTCAATCTCCAGTGCCCCTGTTAGGGGGAAAAAAAAAGAAAAAAGGCACAACGGTTGCCTCTAAAACTAAACATCTCCATGACTTAGCAATTCCATTCCTAGATATTTATACAAACTAAAATGTATAAGCCATCAAAAAAGCCTTGCATAAGCATATTCATAGCAGCTCTATTCATAACAGCCCCAAACTGAAAACATCCCGGATAGCCATTACTAGGAGAATGGATAAACAGTGTCATATTACTGAGTAATAAAGAGCAAATGAATTACTGGCACATGCAACAACATGAAAGAATTACTGAAACATGCTGAGCAAAAAAAATCCTGACCCAAAGCTACATGCTCTATGCTCTAGACTGAATGTTTGTGTTACCTCCCCCGACCTTCCCCTCATTTTTTGTTGAAACCTAATCCCCAGTGTGATGGTACTTGGAGGTGGGGCCTTTAGGAGGTGACTGTCATGATCGTGGCAGCCTCGTGAATGGGACTGGTGCCCTTATAAGGGAGACCCCAGAGATCGCGCCAGCTTTCTCTCTGCCGCGTGAGGATACAGCAAGAAGGGGCTCTTCACAATGTTACCAAACGCAAGTCCTTGTACCGGATGCACAGTGAGGCCAAACAAACTGAAACATCAGAGTCTGGAGCAGAGAAAGGTTTACTGCAGGGCCGAGAAAGGGAGACGGGGTGGTTCATATCCAAGAAAACGCTGAACTTCCCTAAAGGGTCTCAGCAAAGCATATTTAAAGGCCAGGTAATGGGGATGGGGTCACAGGGTACATGATCAGATGTGCACAATTCCCTGACTGGTTGATGTTGAGGTAACAGGGTGATCAACACTATCAACCCCTAGGCGCCAGAAGGTCTGGGGGCCCCGTGCTCACGATCATCAAGTAGTTAGTTTCTTCCCTTTGGCGGTGGGTTTTTTAGCATCTGAAAAACTCAGGAAATACACATAAGATACTGTGAAGGAAAAACCGGGCTGGTCTAACAAGATAACTCACAAGTCTAAGTATTGGAATACTGATCTGAGTTCTGCTAGACTAACTTGTAAATCTAGGTTAATTAGTGTTGGTTTGCTGTTCATGTTTTTTGCTAGCCAGCTGGGTTTTCAAAGATACATATCTGGCTTTGGAATGTTGGTTTGCTGCCTCCCCGCCTCCACTTTTGTGATGATAATGCTGCTAAAGCTGTTCCATGCCTATTGGCCAAATACCCCAAGCTTGTACTTTACCCTATAAAACCTCATGCGCAAGTATTGGAGGTGCTCAGAGCTTCGGAGCAGAAGCCCCTCTGAGCCCGCCGGCGTAATACATCTGAGGACTCCAGCCCTCTGAGTGGTGCTTGTTTCTTGACTGGCCTGTCGTTTCCATAACAATACTATTAACTGGGTACTTCGGAGGAAGGTGTGGGGCCGGTATCTGTTCTGAAAAGGCACCGCAGGGTCCTGATGGTTATAACCATGTATTGAGCCAGTGCCTTGGTTTTGGACTTCCCACTTTCCAGAACTGTGAGGGAAAAAAAGTTAGTTATTTAAGCCACCTAGTCTACAGTGTTTTTTGTTTTAGCATCCCAAACTGACTAGGACAACATGTGATTCTACAAAGCTCTAGAACAGGCAAAGTTAATCTATGGTGATAAAATCAGAAAAGCTGCTGCGCGAGTCTGTTGGGTAATTGACTGGGAGGACGGGCAGGAATTTTCTGAAGTGATGAAAATTTCCTGTACCTTGACAGAGGTGTGGGTTACTCAAGTACGCATGCTTGTTGGAACTAATCTAACTGTATACTTAATAGCTGTGTATTCCACTGCCTGTATCTCAGTTTTAAAGAGACATTGCCCACTGTTACCTAGGACTGGTTTATGATAGTTGCTGGTCTGTAGGAGACAAAGGAATAGGTAAACCAGTAACTAAGTCATATCACCTGACTGGTGGCTGGATCTTTGAAGGCCACGATGTTATCACAGCATAGAAACTCTGAAAACCAGTGTAAGACAAGGTTCTGGACTGGAAGCCCAGGGGTCTCAGCAAGAGCTCTGAAAAAATGATAACCATAAAAAAAAATCAAACAATGAAATAATTTAAATGATATTTGAAAATACAATATAAAGACAACATGGATAATGTAGTCTAAACAAGACACAGAGAATGAATTAGAGAGTTTGAAGATAATGCTGAGAAAAGCACCCAGAACTCAGCCTACAAGGACAAAGATTATGGTTTTTAAAAACATGAAAGGACAGTTTCAAGACCTGGACGGCAGATCAAGGAACTCCAGAGGGAGCCCCTAAAAGGGACTGGCAGAGATCCAATAGCTGAAGAAATAATAAAATGATTTTCCAAAATTGAAGAACTATCTAAATCTTAGGATCAACAGTACATTCTGTGTACTGAGCAGGATGATAAAAAGTAAATCCACATCTAGACCAGAGGAATGGATCTGAGGAGCACCGAAAATAAAGATAATCCCTTAAAAGTCATTGAGAAGAAAGCTGACCTGCTGGGGAACACCTTCTAGGCGGCAGATTACAACCACAAAACAGTAGATGCCAAAAGACAACTGGAGACCTGCCACATTAGACCATTGCATCCAAACTAGTCTTTGAAAGTGAAGGCAGAATAAAATTATTGTTAGACATGCAGAGTATAACAGAATTTACCACCGTGGGACCTTAACTAAACAAAGGAATTTTTTCAAGATTGCTTCAAGAAGAAGTGTAAACCCAGAGGGAAAATATAGGATACAAAAAAAATAGCATAAAAATTGATAAAATTTGTCAGTAAATTTTAACTGTTGTTGACTGTTATTTTAAGGTTTCTTTTTGTGTTTATAAAATAAGGTTCAGTTCACTTGGGTTAGTTTTTCTTTCCCCTTCTCCCCTTTAGTGTGGTTATGTTATTTATTTGGAAAAAAAAATTAAGTTCATCTGGTTTTGTTTGTATTCATGTTATTTACGGGATTGTTTGAGTATGTGAAACATTGAAACTGGTTTGAAAATTCAGAGGTATTCAAAACGTTTTACTCAAAGAAGTGTCCTTTCCCCCTTGCCCCGCACCCCCCATCTCTTCTACCCTGTTCTTAGTCTCACTTTTCCATCGTTTTTCACTCATTTACTGCAGATAACCCATCTCGTTGATTTCTGGTCATCCTTCCTGTGTGTCTTCCTCCACAAATGAGCAGATACACGTGTATTTTCTTGTTTCTCCTTTCTTGTACAAAAGGTAGTTTTAGTGGCGTTCACCTCCATGTATTAAATGTGTTTCAATAGCTTTGAATCTCAGAGAGAGAGATTTGAAATCTCAGTCCTTTCCTTCTCAGAGGTCCGCTGTGGGGTGATTGATTTATTTTGCAAATTTTCCTGCCCTGACCTCAAGAATATTCAAATGCATTTACCAGTGGGAATGCAGGGAGAGGACCAGGGCTCCCTCCACTTCCTGAGACTTAGATGTGGTCCCTTACCTGACAAATTGCTATACACGGTGCTACCTGCAGAATGGTGTGTGGTAGGCTTTGGTTTAGACGATGACTATTAGGGTGACCTTCTCTGAAAAAACATGATTCAAAGCAACCTGATTTTTTTACTTCTCAAAAGAGCTCCCCACGCCTAGTGTTCCTGTTCTTTTATGGGTGGACCCATTACTCCACATGGACAAGAAAAAAAAAATCTCTCTGAATGGAGATTTTATCACCCTCCATACAAGCTCTCCTTCTCAGCCTTGTATCAGCCATAATTTTGAAAAACTCGCCTTCTCTGGCTTCATCTAAGTTGAAAATGCTGAAAAAGACAAAGGCAAGGGAAGACCGTATTAGTCCTCCACTGGAGGCCTCCCTCAGCATGGGCTCTGATCCACTGGTCAATACTCTGATTCTTCAATAAACCAGACGTGTTCCCGCTGTGTTACTATCCTTTCATTTTTGGCCTCGTTTTCTCTGAAGAGTTAAATATTTTCTAGGGAGTCTAAACTGAGAACAACAACACTCACCCTACATTCTTTTTGAGAGTGGAAAAGAAAGCTGAGTCTATTGATCACAGAAATGGGAGGGAACATGCATTATATTTTAACCAGTGTGTAAAGAAGGCTCTTCTGTAATCAGCTATCCGGACTCTTCTCTTCAGAGAATTTTGTTTTATAGCAAATCGCTGTTGGGATGAAGCTTTATAGCTTTGGAGTCCTTGTAGCTACCATCCTCTTCTGTGAGCAGCATGGCTTCGCATTTCAGAGGTAACCTGGCAGCACCCTAGATGGTGGTGGGTCATTTCCCCTACTTGTTTGCCCCCAACGGAATCCAGTCCATGCATTGGACTAGGGAGCAAAATGTTCAGGTTTGAAGGTCAGCTCTGTCTGCAACTTCCCGTGTTGCTCTTCCACATTGTAGATGTCAGTATAATGAGGATTTCACTAGAGCTAAGGTCTTTTTTTCTTTTCTGGCTCTAGTTTTATTACTGAGAAAACTCGGGATGATGTGTATATTCAGTGGCTATGAAAATGAAAGGAATAGAATCTTCTGATTTTTAAAAAATATTTAGTTACATCCTATCGCATTGCAAGGTTTATATTTTTCTTGCCTTCACAGATACCATGTATGAACTATGGATAAATTTTTTTCTTATACATGAAACATGGGAGGGAGAAGAGGATAAATGTATCAAACAGGAGGTCTGGGTTGAGCATGGGTATTCAGCATGCAATATGAAAGGAAGAAAAGCTGTGTTATAAAGAACACACACAGGAACACATCTCATTCTTATTTTGCTTGGTAGAATGATTCCCATCGGAATTTCTACTATAAACCGCTTGAAAGAACACAAATGAACTCACACCCCAGCCTATATAAAACATGCTGTAAATAGTCCCGGGTTATATGTGTTATTCTAATTGATTAGCGAGTCAATTTTTAGGCTTTTCAACATTGATATTGTTTCCTCTGGAATTATTTTGTTCTTCCTTTTGTTTTGCTTCTATGATCTTTTTCTTCTCCAATTATCTGAGGCAGATTCCTCTCTCCATATTAGCAAATGG